CAGCTACTTGGAAGGCTGATCCAGGAGGATCGCTTGAGCTCTGGCCTTTGAAGCCAGCCTGGGAAAAATGGCAGGACTTCATCTCAAAAAAAGAACGGAAAAGGGAAAGAAATGAAATGAAATGAGGCGAAAGGAAAAGACAGGACAGGACAGAGAAAAGTAAAGCAGGTGTGGGGGTCCATGCCTGCAATGTCAGTCCTTCGGGAGGCTGTAGCAGGAGAACTGCTACAAACCTGAGGCCAGACTGGGGAACACAGCAGGACCTTTTCTCAAAAACAAAGTAAGTCCACTGCATTCTGAGAAGTGTGTGGTAATTTGTGCCCAAATTGGCCCATTTCTAAGTATTTGGCACTATAATCCTGAATGAGAGGAAAGCAACTCCAGGTGCCTGGCCCACCTTCCCCCTCCGAGTAGGAGACAGAGAGGTCAGGCGGGGCTCAGGACAAGGACCCAGGAGACCTTTGCAAGGCCAAGGTGCCCTGAGCCTGTCCCACAACCTCTGCCCCCTGGAGACCCCAGCTCACGGCTCCACCCTTTCTCAGAGATCCCCCTCACCCTGGCAGGGTGGCAAGAGGCAGTGACAGGAGACAAGAGAGCCGGTGTTTCTCCAGGCCAGGGCTGCAGCTGGGCGAGGACTGCTTTATTGAGACTCCTGGAGGGCTCAGCCCCAGCGTCTCCATGGTGTCAGGGTGGCAGGGAGCAGGGCAGGAATCTAGAAAAGGCTGCATGATTGAGGCCATGGGGAGACAGCACGCTGAGGCAGCTTAAGGCAAAGTGGCTAGGGTGAGAGAATCCATGAGGGGACAGAGGGGGCGCCTGTGGCACCTGGAGTCACACCAGGTCTAGCGGAAGTAATTGGGACACTCGTGGGCAACCAGGTGCCAGCCTTGCTCAAAGGCCTCCACCACAGCCGGCTCCAGGGGTCCTTCCTCCACAGCGGCCAGGTTCTGCTGCAGCTGCTCCAGGCTGGACATGCCCAGGATGACTGCATCCCCAGAGGCTCCCTGCAAGGTGACAAGCCACACTGGAGCATACTTGTGCTGCCCAGTGGCTCCAGTCACACCCTTCCCTCCCCGTCCCTGCCAGGACTCAGAATCTGTGTATTTATCTCCTGAGCACCTGGTAAGAACTGAAGGAACCTCTGACTCCCACACTTCAGTACCCTATCGTCTCTTCCCTGTTCATCTACTCAGAGCCAGGTGAGTTCTGCCACCCAAGAGCCAGGTAAAGTCCTTGGTGACTTAAGCTCTCCTGAGACTCAAATCTTTTGTTTTCAGTGTGACTGGGAAGAGGAAAATTACCTAAATCACGTAGACACCATGGAACATCTACAATATCTACACTGTGAGCTGCTTATGCCTAGAGGGGGAGAAGTTTTCACCAGGAAGATCTGAGCCCAAGAGAGAAGGAACCCCAGCTCCATCCAGAGCAGTGGGGCTGATGGGCTTTGCAGCTAAACCTGCATTGAAACGTCTTCCCTGGGGCCAGGGAGATAACTCAGTAGAAGAAGTGCTTGCCTGGCAAGCACAGGGTCCTGAGTTCGATTCCAAGTACTTCAAAATAAATAAATAAATAAATAAATAAATAAATAAATAAATTTCTACCTTGTTATTAGCTATAGGAAGTCCAGCTCCTTGTCAATAAAACTGGAGAAACCATATCTTTTACGGTCTAAGTAATAATGAAATCATGCTTGTGAAATTTATAATGCCTGGCACATGGATGACAGCAGAAAACAATAAACAGGAAGGAGACATTTCAGAAAGGAACAGAAAACAGTCTTTAGAAATCATCTAAAGGGGCTGGTGAGATGGCTCGGTGGTCTGGAGCGCCTACTCAGAACGAGCTAAGCCAAGCAAGGTACAGGGACCGCGGTTCAATCCCCCAGCACCACATGCCAGCCAGCCCCGCCCCCTGGTGGGCTGAGCAGGCCACACACACACACACACACACTGATCCAGTCACCTACACAAAATAAATAAATAAATAAATTAATTAATTTAAAAAAAAAAAAGAAATCATCTAAAGATCATTCCAGGGCCGGCCAGGTTACCTGCAGCTGGGAGTGGTGGTACATCCAGCGCAGGGCGGCCGAGGTCATGCTGGGGGCGCTGGTGCCATAGGCAGCCTGCAGGGCCTTCTCCACCAGGGCGATGGCCTTGAAGTGGTGCTCCTTCCAGAACCTGAGCAGGTGGCCAGGTAGCATGGGGTCAGTACCCTGGAGGCCACAGGCAAAGTGCCAAGCAGCACAGCTGCTCCTATCCATGTCCTGCAGTGTCCCCTCCAGCACTGGCTGTTCTGCTGTATGCAACATTACAATAGCCCAGGCTGCTGACCCTGAGCAGATGTTGGCAACATCTTTATTCTCAGACTCCTGCCCCTGCTCCTCTGTACCTACAGGAACAAAGCAGCTAGGAGGCAAGATGCAGCCCCAGGTCCCCTGTGCCTCCCTCCATCCCTCCAGAGTTCTTTCCTTCCTTCTCCACAGGTGACTTCTCAGGACACAGCTATGGCTGGAAGACCACAGGACCCTGGCTTCCTAATTTCTTCACACAGGTCCCAAGAAAATAAGAAATCTGGGAGCTTTCCAATCCTTACAGGAATCCAGAGAGGTAGGTACAAGTAGCAATGGAGATTTCACCCCCAGGAAAGCAGCCTGCAACTTCACTTCAGATAAAGAGGACTTCCCGGCCCACCCCTCCTGATGCAGGCAGCCCAGGCTCACCGATTCCTATAGGTCTCCGCCCAGCTATTTCCAAAGAAGCGGCCCACGGGCTGTTTTCCATCCTTGTCCTCATATTTGTACCTGCCAGTCAGCAGGCCCCCTGCAGGAAGGCTGTGGTCAGATGCTGGCCCAGGCCGCTCTCAGAGGTTGCCAGATTCTCCAGTTCTGGACATGGGGAGGGAGAGGAACCAAGGAGAGATAGGGACGTAACCCAGCTCTTGCCGAACTCTGACTGCTTCCTGTGGTTTGGGCTGGGTATCCACAGGGACAGAAGTAGGCACAGACAACACAGCCAGCAATGCCCACCCATTCCAGAAGGGCTTGCCCCCATAGGAGCCATACCAGCCAAAGGGTTGTAGGCGTAGAACCTCAATCCAAAGTGCTTGAGGCAGGGGAAGAGCTCTGTTTCCACCTGCCTGGTGGTGGCGTTGTACATGCCCTGTGGGGAGAGGGGCCAGTTGGAGAAGGTGAGTGTGTCAAGGGAGGGGACCCAGCCTGCCTCTCTTCTTTCCCTCCAGTCCTTCTTCAGTCCTTTTTTCAGTCCTAGTGATTGAACCCAGAGGCTCTGTACTGCACCATACCCCTAGACCTTTTAAAGTTTTCATTGTGAGACAGGGTCTCACTGAACCAGTAAATTGCCCAGGCTGGGCTCAAACTTACAATATTCCTGCATCAGCCTCTTAGAGTGCTGAGATTAAAGGCATGTACCACCATACCTGACCTTTTTCTTTCTTTCCTTCCTCCCCTCCCCCTTTCTGTGGAACTGGGGATCAAACTCAGACCCATGCGCTTGCCAGGCAAGTGCTCATTCTACTGAGCCATCTCCCTGGCCCCTTTCTCTTTTTAAAAATGTATCAGTTATTGGACTATTTGCACTTTTTTTTTTTTAATTTTTTTTTGGCAGAACCAGGGATTGAACTCAGGCCCTTGTGCTTGCCAGGGAAGTGCTTATTCCACTGAGCCATCTCCCTGGCCCATGTATCAGTTATTTAATTAGGTTCTTAGTAAGAAATTCAGAATACTAATTTATGAGGATAAATTACATTTGTAAGAGCAAAAACGGATCACAGGTAGCCCTGGAGCTGAGGAACAGCTTTGATTTTTGCTAAAATCTGTGAGTCCACCACTATCTGATCCACCTTGCGCTGCTCTAAAATCTGGTATCTCTCTTTCTTGGTGTTGAAGATCTCACTCTCCTGGTGTCTGGGTTTCTGCAGCTTCTTCTTCTTGAAATAAGCATCAGTGTGGTGTTTGGGGGAGTTTCACTTTGCTGATATCAATTTTTGTAGAGGTTGCAATGACAAATTTCTGGTGTGTTCTTCGTAGAGGAACATGACTAAGGTTGAGAGGCCCAGTCACAAGTGGCAAGCCACTGGCCAACTGCTTCAGGAAGTCCACTCTCTTGCCTCTGTGACGCCCGGTGAGGATGATCAAGATGGTGCCGGGAGTGATGCTAGCTCGAAGTTTCCTCACGTGCTGACTGAAGGGTTTCTTGCCGTGGCTCAAGAGCTTTTGGGGCACATCTTCAGTAGGGCAGTATCTAGGCATTTTTTGAAGCTTAACCGCCTGGGTATCATTCTTGTAACCACCGACTGGTTTTGTGATCACAGCAAGAACTTTCTACTTCTTTTTCTTCTCAACCTTTGATTTAGTAGCTGTGTACTTTCTCTTGTACAAAGCCTTTATGGAATACATAGCAGATTGGGAATATCTCCCAAGTCCTCTAACAGGACAGGATTTCGGCTGCAGTGGGGCTGCCCCTTTTTGGACTTTTTTGCCCTCACCTTACCCTTTTTACCAGTACCACTGGCAGCAGCCTTCTTGGCTTCAGGTATTTTTTCTTTAGTGTCTGGCTTCTTAGTTTTCTCACCTGCCATCTTGCAAGATGGGAAAGAGCCTCTTTTCTTTTTTTAAAAAAAATAATTGTATCTTTAGGATATATACAGACTGAGATCTCAGGCATCAGAGGGCTTTGGGGAGGGGCTTCCCAAGGAAGAGCCATCTAAAGGAGACTTCAGCTCCTCTTCCAGGGAGCCGGTGGAAGGAGGAGACTGAGCTGCACACGCAGGCAGGAAGCCAGCAGGTGCCTGGTGCTCAGCCTGGGTACATGGGGGCTCATACTGAGTCCACCTGAGAGCCACCCACAGGCTTTGGGCAGGGGACAGACTGCTGTGGAGGGACACAGGTGCGTTCTGAGGCACCGATCACAGATCCAGGATCAGCAGGGACCTGGAGCCTAAAGCCACAGCAGCCTTGGCACCCCGGCAGCCCTCACCTGGTACACGGTGGGCAGGATCCAGCCATTCTTCTTGCACAGGGTGCAGATCTCGGCCACCTCCCAGGCGGCATAGTTGGAGAGGCCAAGCTCCACAAACTTGCCCTGCAGGGAGAGGCCCGGTCAGAACCAGGTCAGCCTGGGGGTCAGGCAGGGGAGATGGGGAAGGGACACGGGAGTGGGGTCGCCTCAGCTCTGCTCTGGGTGCCCCGGTGCCTCTGCTCTCCTGGTAGCGTCAGCATGAGAGCCTGAGGAGATGGGCGCCCACTCTTACCTCCTGGTGTAGCTGCTGGCAGGCGCGCAGTGTCTCCTCCACTGGGGTGCCGTGGTCAGGTGCATGTAGGTAGAAGAGGTCCACTCGGGGACACTGCAGCCGCTTCAGTGAAGTCTCCAGCTGGGACCGCAGACTGTCAGGCTTCAGTGTCTTTCCATCCCAAGGGTTGGCCTTCGTGGCTATTTTCACTTGGAGGGAGAATGTAACAGTTAAGAGGATCAGAGCTACTCACTGGCTAGCCACATGATCCTGGCAAATTACCTAAATTCCCTGAGCCGTAATTCCCTAATCTGTAAAATGGGGTAGCGATAACTGAACTGTCCTCGCAGAGAAGTCGCAGGGATTAAACAATATTTTCAGTTGAAGTTTCCCATGTTTATCTTTGTTCCAATCACCATCGTTAGTCACCGAACTGCTGATGGTGCCAGAACCTGCCCAAGAGACTGTGCAGGAACGAAGTGAAGACACTGGGTTCCTGCCCTGTAGGAGCCCACAGACTGCCTGACAGTGCAGCCGAGAAATGAATACAGTGCTACAGGAGCCCCTAGGAGAGGCACGAGGCCCACCCTGATATCCAGGAAAGGCTTGCTCTAGACCACAGTGAACCTACAGCACTCGTATCCCAGTGAGAGCTCTAATAGATCTGCCATCACTAGGCTAGGCGGGGACCACAATCTGAGCTCCTAGGAATCAGCCTCTGCCAACAAGGAAGGGCCAAAAATGTCACAGAGACAAGAAAAGACATCACAGATGCAAGGCTGCACAGTTCTAATTCTGTGTCTGTAAAGGGGACTTGGGAAGAGGGTGCAGCTCTGATCCCAAAGACTCTCAGATACCACTCCACTGAATAGATACACACTAGATCACTCACTGGTTATGTCAGGTGTAAACTAGGCAGCAACTTCGCTGTGGCTGAAGTGTAAAGAAGGAACTCAAGGGGGCAGGCCTGGAAGCAGGAGACCAGGACAGAAGCTGCTCAAGGTATTGATCAGTCTGAGTTAGGTGCATATTGAATAGGTTAATTAGAGATCTTCCGCCCTCCCCAGACCGCAGGAAGGATGCCCAGCCAGCCAGCCAGCCACTGCACTGGCAGTGTTCAGCCGTCTAGGAAGCTTGGAAATGCGTTAACCCTGTTCCTGCCCCTGCAAAGAATCCCAGCTATCTGGACTGATCAGTGGATGGGTTTTGAGGTGTCCTCAATCACGTGGGATACGGGAGAGAAGTCCACAGCTAGTCCTCCACTGCCCCCCGCCTTGGTGTAAACTTTACCTCGGGTGTGATCTGCGGACTCTGGCCCCTTGAGCTCCAGAGCCTCAAAGAAAGCAGGAAAGGCTTGGAGACAAAAAATCAATTCAGAAGCAGAATGTTTATTATCACCGGGATGCCACTGTTGAAGTAGCAAGTGCTGTCTGGAAAGATACAATTTTATCTGTCCAAGTTGTGGATCAAGGAACCTCAGGTTGGCAAAGAGGAGGCTTCACTGTGTGCTAGGCACCCTGAGGCAAAGGGCTTGCAACCTACACCCACCCCCTACTTCCCAGTGGGCCCTTGGCATTCCCATAGGTCTCCACGAGACCCAGAAGCACTGCCAAATGCACGGAACAAAGTCTGGGATGGGACAGAGTGCTCAGAGAGTGCATGAGTGGTCAGGGAGTAGTGGAGAGGCGCAGAGCCTGGGTGAGGAGACCGGTAACGGGCACCTGGCAGGTGCTGCAAGCTCGGGAAAGAGGTGTGAGTCAGAACAAGCTCGGGTGAGATGAGGGCTCTGAGACAGGTGCGGAGACAGGGAGGTCAGGGAGGCCGGTACCTCTGCAATCTGCGCCGCCCAGCCCGAGCCCCAGGCCGCCCAGGATGCTCTCCGACTGGCCGTCGCTATACATGAAGGCCGTGTCCAGCTCCGTGTGGCCGCGCTCCTGGAAGGCGCGCACGGACGCGGCGCTGGCGGACGCGTCCATGCGGCGCCCCATTTCCATGGTGCCCAGCACCGTGGCGGGCTGAACCGGAGTGCCCCCGGTGGTCCCTGGCGGCGGTGGCCGGGACATGACGACGGTGCGACACTGGGCCGGCCGAGAACTTCGCGCTGAGCGGACTGCAGCGCGATCCACAGCCCGAGACACCGAGCGCAGCATCAGGACTGCGCCTGCGCAAGGGTCCACTTTGGCCCCGCCCACGCTCGCGGGGCGGAGCTCGGAGGAGGTTAGGGAGCCAGGACAAAGGCGCGCCGGGCTCTCCGGCGCACACACCCTGTGAGCTAAGGGACGCCTCCAGGGACCGTCTGCCAAGTGCGCGGCATGAGAGGCGGAGCCGCGCGGCTCCCAGGGCGGGGTGGCGGCGTTGGGTCAGCTGACTCCGAGGACCTAACCCAGAAGCCGGGTCCCGCGGCGGATCCTGACGTGGTGAGATGGCTTAGGGGCTGGCGGCCGGTCTCCGGGCTTGGGGTCGGGACTCTTGACGCTTCCTGCCACGTTTTCCAACACCCTCTCCCCGCCCCTGCACCGTCCCCGGCTTCTGTACCCTCCAAAGGCGCGAGATCCCGGGAGGAGGCGCGGGGCTTGCTTGGGGCAGCTCGTCGGGACGGGGGCCTTCGCCACCTTGGGGATGGCGAGCACGGCCTCCAGGCCAGCCTGGGTAGGGTTGGGGTCCAGGTCTGTCACCTACTTCTGTGGTCGATGGCTCCTTGTGGCTTTGTTTTCCTGTGGCGGACCGAGCGAGGGTGCTGGCCCAGCGGCTGCCCTGTCATTATCCCTCCAAACTGGCCGCGGGCCAGGGCCGGAGGTCTGGAGCAGGTGGGATCCCTAAGCAGGGACGCTGCCTCGCCACATTCGCCCAGGTGTGCCCCTGCAAGGCTCAGGGCATGGTGCCATGGGTGCAGGGCCAGTGTGGGCTTAGGAATGTGAGGACAGGCCAGAGTCAGGGTCACAGGGCTTGTCCATTCAACACTCACCAAAGACTACTGTGTGCCCCAAGCCCTGAGGAGTGTGGAGGGGAATTATAGCAGGAGCTGCCTTAGTTTCTTTGGTATTACTGTGTGTTGGCCCAGTGGGGGGGGGGCACCACTGTAATTGCATGCCCTGGGTTACCCCATTTAACCTAAGAGGTGAGGCCTTGCATTATTACCCCAAGTTAGGGATGAGAACTTGAAGGCCCCATGACCTGCCCTGGACCAGCAGCTAGACAGATGGATTAGATTTCCTTCTTAATCCTAGGCTCTCTGAGCGCAGTTTTCTCCTTCTTTCCCTTTCCTCTAAATTTCTTCCCCTCTTTTCACTTTTTCTCTTCTTTCACTTTTCTTCCCTCCAGCTGTTCTCTGTCTCAACATTTTCTGAACTTTTACTGAATACCTTGTGCTGGCGAGCCCACCAGGTGCTGAGACCGGGAAGTGAATACCCAGGGTGAGGGGAGAGGTGGATATTAAAATGGTTGCTGAGGAATTTTAAAAAGCCCTCTTCAGGGGTGCAGCCCAGGGAAGGAGAGGAGGGGGCAGGTTTTTTGTACAGCCCGCTTCTGTAAGGCCCCTTGGAGAGGGCCAGTTTAGAACTGGGTCATAGTATCTCTTTAACAGGACCTGTGGGGAGAAGGACACCTCTAGGTGAATGAGACGGTGTGTGCAGGTGCACGCGTGGGGCAGGAGGTAGAGGTAGAAGGGCAAATCTCTGGATGCCATGGGGCCTCCTCTCAAGGAATGTGCCCTCGAGCCACATGTGCGCTGGTGGGAAATGCCTCAGTGGTTTTGCCTAGGGTTGGGAAGAGGGGTTAGATGTGGATGGAGAGGCATTTTCCAGCACAGCATTTCTCAAAGTACGTGGTGTACTTTGAAATCCTTTAAGAACTTACCGTTCCTGAGGTGGCCAAAGGGGGGGAAGGAGGGGCCCCAGAGTGGCCCAGATACTGGACTTTCCTCACAGCAGTCACTACCACATATGCAGTCAGACACTGGGCTGAGAGTTTTATGTGCGTTTTGTCAGTGCAGCCACCCAAGGCTGGAGTGTCATTAGCTCCATTTTATGGAGAGGCTCCAGCAGGTTAAATTACCAGAGCCGCTCAGCCACATCTGTAAAATGGGGACAGGGTTCCCATCCTGCGGGGGAGTTGTAAGGATGACAGTGTACAAACATGTGGATGACTACAGTGGCATGTTCAGAATCTGTAAGAGGAGGGCGAGGCAGTCCAGTGGGAGGGACTTTTGTATTGAAGGACTTGGTTTGAGATGCCTTTGATGTTGCACAGGTGCGGTCCTTAACCTGGGCCGTGTGTCAGTTTAGGGTGTCCTCGCAGCTGCCAGTGACAAGACATCAGGTGCATGCGTCCAGCATCAGCTGTGCCGGTGGTCATCAAGGAGGGCTGCTGAGAGCCAGGAAGAGGCTTTCTGCTACCTTATGCTGGCCCTTGTGATCCCACAGTAAGCCACATACACAGTGACCTGGGCCCTAGCTCCCACAGTGGGTCACGTTAGGGCTGAGACAGCTTCCTGAGAAAAGGAGCTGACTCGCTTCTTTTCCCCTCGGAAGGCTCCCTGGTCACTGCGACCTCAGCAGTCCCATGGGTCTAGCCAGGGCATTGCTTGGTGAGGAGTGGGGTTCCCAGACACAAACAGGAACAGAGGTGCTAGAGGGAGCCCCTTCTGGGTGAAGAAGCAGAGAGAAAAGAGGAAGCACTGGAGACCCGAGCAGCCAGGCCAGTCCCCAGTGGAGTGTGGTGGCTGTGAGCAGGAGTCCTGCTCTTCTTGGTCCTGGGTTTGACTCTGTCACTTCCTGGCAGGGTGGCCCTGGCAGGGTGCATCACTGCTGTGGTGTCTTGTCCCTCCTGGGTGTAACAGGAATGAGGGAGACAGACTGCATTAATGAGTGCCAGACACTCGGCCCAGAGCTGGTCAGGAACTGGGCTGTCAGGCTGGTGGCAGCCATCACTGAGGGAGATGGCTCCCGTGGGGTCTCCTTCTGTCCTTTGCTAGATTGTCACACAGTGGTGACTGCTCTGCTGTCTGTCAAGGGTCCCCGGGTACTGGGAACAGCCATCTCCTTTCTGCCCCTGCACTTAGCTGGATTCTGGTTTGGGAGGTGACCCACAGGCCATGTGAGCTCCTGGGGAACATGCACTCAAGCACCCCAACTTGCATCTCAGCTGCTAGGGCAACCTCAGGGTATCAGTTTCTCCTTATTCTTATCTGACCGATGTGCGGGGCAGCATGAACTGAACAGGCCTGGCTTTACACACCCAGAGTAATGTACAGTAACAGTAATGACAAGAAATGGCTTCAGTCTCAGTGTTTGTGCAGATGCTCGTGCGCTGCACTCCAGGCCCCGGGCTCCCTCTGTGTGCTTGTGGTTGTACGTGCTTACTTTGATCTGTGTTCCTGGAGGGTTGCTGTGTTCCCATTGGCGAGGACCGCGTCTTTATCTTTCTCTGGTCCTGGCGCTTGGTCAGTCAGGGCTGAGTGATTGGGCTGGGTTAGGGCTGGGTGGAGGTAAATAGGGGGTGGACCTCCCACCACAGAAGACCTCCTCTCTTTCTCCCCGTAGAAGGAGCCCTTGCAGTGTACCAGCACCCATCCTCCCTCCTGCGAGGTCCCTCTGGGCCGTGCCCCTCCCTCTGCAGCCATGCTCTGGAGGAAACTGGGAGCCAGCAACTTCTCCAGCTGCCCTAATGGCTCTGTCCTGTGGATATGGGATGTGTTTCACGAGTGTGCCCAGGACGGCTGGGATCAGGCTAGCGTGAGCCTGGGCCTGATCTCCATTCTCTGCTTCGCTGCATCCACCTTGCCGTGAGTCATGCCTGGGTGTCCCTCGAGGGCAGTGCTGGGGGTGGGACAGTGGCTTGGGAGGAGCCTGGGTGGAGCCCCATGAGTCTCATGCTGGGCATTGCTGAAAGAATGGTTTGCTGAGTGTCCACTCTGGACCTGGTTCACCTCTGAGTGCTGCATGTGTTTTTACCTCTTTTGGTCCTCAAAGCAAACCTTTTCTATTGTACGGAGAAGGGAACCGAAACCCAGGGAGGTTACGTGATGTGCTGTAGGTTGCACAGTTGGTAAGAGGAGGCAAGGAGTGGGAGGGTGGGGCTGCATCTGACCCGGCCTCTGTCCTCAAAGCTTGGATGGTCTGGTGGTGGAGACCACAACACTCAATACCAAACGCTGATAAGGGAGGGGCACAGAGACACTGCATAGCAGCACAGGGGTCAGGAGTGTCAACCCGCAGCAGCTGTGTGTGGTGGCATGGGCCTATAATCCCTGTATTCTGAAGCAGGAGGATTGCAGGTTCAAGCCCAGCTTGGGAAATTTAGCAAGACTCTGGCCCAAAATAGAAAATTAAAAATGGTCTATGGATGTGGAGTGGCAGAGATGGTGACAGAGCTCTATGTAGTGTGTAGGACCTGGGTTCAATCACTAGGGGGGAGGGAGGGAGAGAAGTTGGGGGCTGAATGAGAATCTGAGAGTGCCAACAAAGAAGGACTGGAAGCGAGAGGAGAGTCAGGCTGCTTAGTGTTACCAAGAGGAAGAAGATCACTGGGCGCTGAGGAAGTTCTGGGGAGGAACGGTTTCCTGAAAGTGAAAGATGAAGAGGAGGTGTGTGGGCCAAGGAGGGAGCTGCAGGCATCTGTTGTTGAGCTTGGAGGAAGGGAAAGCAACTCCCAGTGGGCATAGCCTCAGACCTGGGCCCTTGCCTGGGCACATGTTATCAAGGAGGTCTTAATAGGTTTTGATAAGACTGGAATTTTTTTGTTTTTGAGACAGTCTCACTGTGTAGCCCAGGCTGGCTTTGAACTCATGCAATCCTCCTGCCTCAGCCTCCCAAGTGCTAGGCTTATAGGCGTGCATCACTATGCCCCGCAAGACTGGAAAGAGGGAGGATGGATGACTCTGGGGAACAAGGATGGGTCAGAAGGCGGAGAGAGTGAGGGCCAGGCAGGAGACGGAGGAGGGACCAGGCTGGAAGAACCAGAGTTAGGGCCCAGCTGTCCTGGTTTTAGGCCTGAAGGGTGGGTGGAAGGAGGTGCTGTTTAGTTTCTTTCTCTTTTTGGTGCTGCGTTTTTCTTTTTGTTGCTGAGAGCCTCACATACAAAGCAGGCTCTCTACCTCTGAGCTACACCCTCAGGCAACCTCCCCTCCCTTCCCGCCTCCCTACCTTTGCTCCTTCCCTCCTTTTTCTGTCTGAATCTTCACGGGTACTCACACACAGGCGGTCAAAAGGAACTTTGTGGAGCTGGGGTGTAACTCAGTGGCAGAACTCTTGGCTAGCATTCAGGAGGCCCTGGGTTTGGTCTCTAGTACTGCAAAGAAAGAAAAGTGAACGGTAAATGGAGTGTGTATAATGGTCAAGCACAAGACCAGAAGCTTGGCCAGGACAATCTGAGCTGTGTGACCCGTTCTCCTCTGTCCCCAGAGGGGAGGATCATGACATCCCCGAGGGGCACTGGGAAGACTAAGGAGCCAGTATGCACCAAGGCTCTGCACTGTACCTGACACCCAGTGGCCCCAGCAGCATTGGTTCATGCTGAACTATGACCTCGAACCTCCACCTGGCCACAGGTCCAGAAAGACTTTTGGGAAAACATCCAGGGAACCAAAATACCGGAACTCTTTTTACTGAGTTACAGGTTCCCCACCCCACTTTCTCTGTTGCCCTCTGTGGTTTGGCCTATCTTGTCTCATCATCAACTGATCCTAGAGATAGGGCAGGGTATGAGCTGTGGGCTGCTGCACCACTCACACCCTGATCTCCACACCCCTTCATCTTATTCAGAAATTCAGAGGGACTGGGGAAGTAGAGCGCTTGCCCAGCATGGGTAAGATGCTGGGGCCCTGGGTTCTGTCCCCAGCACTGAAAAAATGAAACAGAACAAAGGAATCAGGGAACCTATGAGGTGGATCTCAGGGCCTGACACCAACCTTCTGATCCCATATGGACCCTGAGTGCCCTCTGGCACCCTAGGGCATGGCGGAGGAGAATTGAATGAGGCTCAGAATCTTGTGGCTATAGTCATGAGGCTGGAAGGGATTCCCATGGGGCAAAGAGCAAAGAAAGGTCATGCAGACTCTGCCACTGAGAAGGATCCAGCCAAGTTGTTTTGAAGTTTATGGGAGACGTTTCCTTGTTAGCCCTCCGAGGGAAGGTGGCCTCACAGCCCGGAGCCCCTGCGCTCATGTCTAGTTCCTCTTCACAGCCAGTACATCAAGGCCTGCAAGATGGGCAACATGGACCAAGCCCTGTCGGTGTGGTTCCTCCTGGGCTGGATTGGTGGAGACTCCTGCAACCTCCTTGGTTCCTTCCTTGCGGACCAGCTGCCCCTGCAGGTGGGTGGCCCTGGGCAGGGTGCAGAAGAGGTGGCAGAGGCATCAGAAGCAGGCGACAGGAGGAGAGGCCCCGGCCTCAGAATCCTGACCCATCAGTCCATCCGCTTAGAGAAGCTCTGCTCCTGGTGTGCAGTGGGCAAGTCCCGGCACCTCTCTAAGCCTCAGATTCCCCATCTCCAATGTGAGCACCTTCAACCACTGGGGTCTTTTGCTTCTGAGGGGCTACAACCCGTTGGGTTGACAAGTTGTCAGGATACAGGCCCCTTGAGGAGGAAATGACTTTTTTCCTTGGAAGTCCATGTCATTCTCCCGTGGCCAGGCGTAGCTGAGAATCCGTCCAATAGGTACTGTCTTCCACAGTGGGACTGCGACGTCCTGACTGGTAGCCCCAGCCATGGACCCCTAGGCATCTCCGGGCCTTAGCCACGGTGATCCATCCCTCCTCCCAGCTGAGGAAGCAGGCTCAGAGGTAAACAGAGACTGCAGCACCGGCCTCAGTCTGGGGCTCTTTTCTTCCGCAGACCTACACGGCTGTGTACTACGTCCTGGCCGACCTGGTGATGCTGACACTCTACTTCCACTACAAGTTCAAGAAGCGCCCCTCTCTGTGTGAGTGTGAGTGCGGCTGCTCTGGAGCAGGCCCCCTACTGGCAGCCGGGGGGGGCCTAGATTTTGTGAGGAAGTGGGTTTCCCATTGCTGAGTGATGAACCAGGCCTTGGAAGGCGTTATCTAAGAGCAGGAGTTAATGGGTCAAGATAGAGGATGGAAGGCCCAGAGTGTATCCGGCCCAGACCACAGGGAGGATGGAAGGCCCTGAGTGTGTCCGGCCCAGACCACAGGGAGCTTCCGGTCACGCTGCTACCATTCAGTGAATGTGCTCAGCGCCTCCTCTGGGTCTGACCCTGGGCTTGGAGCTAGGCAGGGTGGACAAGTGCACAGTGGCCACTGTCCTCCAAGCTTCAGGAGGGGCAGTAGACAAGGTCAGTTCAAGGTTGAACAAGACACAGGGAGGCCTCAGAGGGAGCTGTGGCTCATTGGCATTTCCTCTTCCAGACCCTCCTGTCCATATTGTTTCACCTTTGCAGTGCTGGGAGAAGGATACTATTGATAAATTCATTCCACACCTGAGGACTTAAAGCTCAGAGGGGTTAGGTCACTTGTCCAAGGTCACACAGCTGCTGGGGGGCATGACTGGAATGCCACTCCCAGTCTTTCTGGTGGGCCCAGATATGGAATCTTGGCTTCTCTTCTGCCTCATGTCCAGTGTCTGCCCCCATCAATTCTATGCTCTTGTTCATCTTGGGGACCGTGTGCATCACACCACTGCTGAGCAGCACTGGCTCTGTGGCTGCCCCGCAGAAAGTCTTCCAGGGGCGGGTGCTCCTGTCTGTGGAGCCAGGCAATAAGGTGAGGTGTGAGCTGGCTGGGAGCGGGTCAGTGGTGGGGGCTGGCTCTCCCTCAGGGGTCTCCCTGTAGGTCTTGTGGGTGTTTGGTGGAAGACGGTCACCCTTTGGGTCCCCATGAGGCTCTCAGCACCCGCTTCTGTCCTTCTAGCCCTTCACGAAGCAGGAGATCATCGGCTTTGTCGTTGGCTCAGTGTCCGCTGTGCTGTACCTGCTCTCTCGGCTGCCGCAGATCCGCACCAACGTGAGCTTGGGGCCCCTGCATGGACGGGGCCGGGTGGAAGAGGAGCAGCCCGTGGCTCAGGCCTCTGGGTTCAGGAGTGGCACGCAGGAGGCTTTGTCCACAAGAGCTGGCACCTCCCTCAGTGCTGGTGTGGCAAGTTAATTTACCTCTCTGAGCCTCATTTTTTGCCCCTGGAAAATGGGACAGGAGATAGATCCTTGCCTCGGAGGGGCACATGAGAGCTGTGTGTGTCCCAGGACCCAGAGGTCAGATGAGAAGGAACATCCCAGGGCTTAGAGGTGGGAAGGGAGGGAGGGGACGGGAGAGGAGAGGAACGGAGGGGAACTTGGGTTGGGGAGGCTTGCTGGGCAGTGGGAATCTGCTGAGCTGGAGAGCAGAGCATTGTGAGGCTGGCCGCCATGGTCTCTGTGGGGCCTGGGGAAGCCCGAGAGGAGTGGTCAAGTGGGGACCACAGGTCATCAGAAGTGGTCTGCTGGGGCTGGTCTGTGTATCAGCTCAGAGTATGTACAGTGGGGGGGCCCAGTGGATGTGTGAGCAGTTACAATCCAGAATGACAGGAGTCCCCTCTGAAGTCTCCGACCCCCACCTCCTTCCCCCCCAGTTTCTGCGGAAGTCCACCCAGGGAATCTCCTATTCGCTGTTTGCATTGGTGATGCTGGGAAACGCACTGTACGGGCTGAGCGTGCTGCTCAAAAACCCTGAGCTGGGTCAGAGTGAGGGCAGCTATGTGCTGCACCACCTGCCCTGGCTCGTGGGCAGCCTCGGTGTGCTGCTGCTCGATACCATTGTATCCTTCTGTGGGTGCAGGACAGGTGGGGCAGGGTAGGCTGGCGGTTTCTGCCTAAGCATAGCACAGCATTCACTACCACGCTAGCCATCCATCCATCTCATCCATATATCTGTCCAGCTGTTCATCCTTCCATCCAACTTCCCATCCATACATCCGTACTCCCATTCACCCACCCACCCACTTGCCCATCCAGCCTCCCATCTACCCATCTGTCAGTCCATGTACCTATCCGTGTATCCATCCATCCATCCATGCATTCATCCATCCATCCACCCACCCACCCACCCATCCATCCACCCATCCATCCATCTGTGCATCCATCTATCCATCCATTCATCCATCTATCCATCCATCCATCCATCCATCCATCCAAAGAGTGTACACCTCCCATGGGACAAGCACCTGGCCAGCCACTGGGCCCATCAGTGATCAAAAACAGAATCACCCTGGCCCAGAGACACAGCCCACTGCACAGTCTTACAGGACACATGATTTATCCTTGCGTTGACACCAAGTGCAGCAGGGATAAGCCACGAGAGTGCATTACTGTGGGATTGTCCTGTTTTAGAACGTAAACAAAAGCTTCTGCAAGTATCATTTAAAACTGTGGCCTGCAGGAAGTTTTTGGTCAGGCAAAGGACGAAGTTCCAGGCCTGGCTTGTGCAAAGGCCCTGAGGAACGCAAGAGGCAGCCCGTTCAGGCTATGGGAATGAAAGCTGGCACATGGAGTAGTCACACGCCAGTTAAAGTCAGAACATCCTAGGTTCAAATCCTGCCTCCTCTGCTTCCTAGCTGTGTTACTCAGCAAATGCTCAACTTCTCTGTGCTTCTATAACTTCATGTGAGCTACCTCCCTGGGCAGTGATGGCACATGATGTTTCTGAACGCTGTCCACCCGACCCAGCCCTCAGTGAGCGCTCAGTAGATGTTCGCTAAAGGGTGCACAGGACGTTATCTGGGGAGAAAGTAAACGTGGCCCTTAGAAATGCTTGCTGAGTCCCAGGGCTATAATGAGAGAGGAGAGTCGTGCTGAAGGGTGGAGGGCGGCAGGGTGGCAGCGCGGGTCCTGGGCCAGGGTCTGGGGCAAGAGCTTGAAGAGGAATGGGGTATGGCTCGGTGGGGCACAGCAGGAGCCAGGGTCCTGGCTGGTGTTCCACCTGCAGGAGGGGAGGGAAGCGGGAGGCACTGCCCCAGCGCCCCCAGGCAGACCCGACTCAGGCTGCTCCCTTGGACCTTAACCTGGCCCTCAGATCTCCATCCAGTTCCTGATGTACAGGAATGCCACCGAGGCTGCCTCCCCCGAGCGTGAGCCCCTCCTGCCCAGCTGACCAGCGCCAGAATGAGCCTCGAAGCAGGGACCTCCAGTACCATGCCCAGAGGGACAGGTGTGGGTAGTGACATTGCCGCCGCCCCAGGCCTGCAGCTCCTGTCCAGCTGTCCTACCTCCCCAAGGCCTCTGATCCTGCCACCTGGACTGACTCTTCCAAAAGCAAGACAGCTCTGAACTGGCCCACTGAGTGGACACCTCCAGGTCAAAGGCAGCTGCTCTGATTACAGCGCCCCTCTGCCCACCTACCTCATTCTGCCTGTGTCCTCCTCCGGGTTGCACCACGGTGAAACTGCCCAGGACTGTCACAAGGACTGATGTGACCTAGTAAACATACCTTCCAGTGGGGCCTGACTGCTGCTCTGTGCTTGGGTGCTGGGGACTGTGCTTTTCCAGGAGACAGTGGTAGATGGAACCCAGGGGTAGGGGGTGGGGTGGAGGCAGGCTGGGATGAGGCTGGAGACCATATCTGCCTGTACCCTCGCCCAGCCTCCCAGCATCCCCGGGTTCTTTCACTGTCATCTCTGGGTCCTGTCTGTCACAGGTCCCAAGTAAGAGTGACACCATAGTGGGCTCGCTGTGCCTGGCTATGCAGGGAGAAGCAGGTGTGGCTCAAGGGTGGTATGGCGGGAGGTTTAGCCCCACAGTGTGAGAGTCTGGCATATAATTGGGGTTCAGCGTTGACTATGATTTTTTTCATTTGGAGATGAGGAATAGCCAGTTCTCCCTGGAGGGTGGATGCCTTCCTGGAGGCGGCGACAGGCTAGACGTGATGGCCGGAGCCAAGGGCTGTGTGACCAGAAGGAGGAACGTGCTGCAGGAATGAGTACACTTGACCTGCCCAGGAGGCCCCGTTGGGGACAGAGCCATGCAGAAGGCTGCTTGCAAAAAGCCTTCCTGAGGGACAGCCAGGTCACGGGGACAGGGTTCATGGCAGCACCCATGGGCAGAACAGTTCTGTTGGGTAAGTTCCTCTGGCTGAGACAAGGAGGGCAGTGGGATCTGCAGCTCGGGTGCATCGATGCAGGCAGGGCCAGCCGCCTCGCCTCATCTGGCAGGTCTGCTAAGCACTGGTGTCCCACGCAGCAGGGATCCCTGGCACACTTGCTGGGCCTGGCTGGGCTTCATCTCCGTGGCTCCCTCTGCTGGGTGGAGTCGTGATGGCCACTGTGCAGATGGGAAAGCAGGCTTAAGGGACTAGGTGGCCAGCCAGGGGTGCCAGCTGTTTGGCACACATCCTCCAGCTTCTGGCTCAGCTTAGGCTGCAGGCTGGCTGATGGCTGTGACATTCATTTCCCAGTGAGCAGAAGGGATGGGCCCTGCAGCCCGGTCGTCTGCACCTGAGCCCTGGCCCCATTGGGTCTGTCTGTCTGTCTTTCTTTCTGTCTGTCTGTCTTTCTTTCTTTCTTTCTTTCTTTCTTTCTTTCTTTCTTTCTTTCTTTTCCTTCCTTCCTTCCTTCCTTCCTTCCTTCCTTCCTTCCTTCCTTCCTGTATCTAGGACAGGGTCTACAGGGTCTCACTACATATGTCAGACTCGTAGTGATTCTCCTGTTTTCAGCCTCCCAAGTGCTGGATTACAGGCGCATGTGACCATGCCATCTCAATCACCATCTCGGTGCGCCCCGGGGATCGATCCCCAGCCGCTGCGCTCTGCCTAAGCAGGCGCTTTAATCCTCTGAGCTATCGGGCCATCGGGCCAGCCCCTCATTGGTTATTTCTTACACCAGGAAATGTTTCGAAGCCACAGCTGAGCCACCAGGGCCTTTAGTTGCCCCCCTGTTGAATGAAGGTGAATTCTCAGCTCGCTCCTCTTTCCATCCCTATTCCCATCTGACAGGGCTTTCTTCATGGCTACTAGGATGCACCTACGTCCTGAGTCCTGCAGAAACACTATTAACTGAGTGTGTGGCTGGGGTTACCTTTGCCCATAGGTTAGTTCAGCTGAAGACTACTAATCTAGCCCCCCAGCTCCAGGACAGTCCTGAGGACGGGCATTCCCACTGTGTCCAATTCCTGAGCCCCAGCATTGTGGACAGAGATGGTGCATCCTGTTTGCCATGTATCCGCAGGACATAGTAGATGCTCAAAACATGCCCGAGACGCTGACCCTTGCATTCTTGTTCCAGTGCTAGCTACCAGGGGCCGGGTGAAACCCTTCCCAACCTGAAGACCTGGGGGCTCTTTGTGCAGCATGAGGCCCAAGTGCAGGTCTAAAGTCCCTGAGTATAGGTGACAGGGCTGTCACTAACCAGCACATAACTACCGAGCTGTATGTTACATGGCTGAAGTGCATGGCATATGACTTATACTCCATAAAGCTCTGTAAAAATAGCAAGGTAAGGGCCGGGGAGATAGCTTGGCTGTAAAAGTGCCTGCTTGGCAAGCACAAGGACCTGGATTCCATCCCCGCTACCGCATGCTGTGCCAGTCCCTCGCTGAGCCAGTCACCAAAACCAGCACATGCCTGTAATCCCAGCACTGAGGAGGCTGAGGCAGGAGCATCACTATGGGTCTGAGCTGCGTAGCGAGACCATGTACCAAATAAGAGATTAAAAAATTGAGCTAGTAAGTACAGTAATATCTTGGTTTGTGAACAATTCAGTTCAAAAACAGAAACGTTTGGCAGAATTTGCTTCTGTTTGCAAATGCCACATCAGGTGATAAACACAGTTACAGCCATCTTGCTCACATGACTTCCCTAGACTTGTGGAACAAATTGTTTGTAAACCGAGGCACCATGGGAAGCTAAGGTGTGTTAGTTGATACATTGTGTCAACTTGGCTGACTCAGCTGCAGCAGATCTCAGCGTGGGGGCCTCGCCCCGCAGGTGGGCAGGGCCCAGGAATTGAGAAAGGCAGGAAGCCGCCCTGCCTGGTTTCCTGCCGCCCCGCCCTGCTTCGGTGGAGAAGTCTCAGTCTTTGGAGGAGCTGGACCTTCGTAGCAGAGTCACTTTGGAGGAGCTCCAATCTTCACTGTGGAGCGCTGGTCTTCGCAGTCAGCGCAGAAGGGAGAGAGAGGCCTCATGGATGCCACCGCAGCTGCTCCTCCTCTGCTCTTCATTGTTCTCTGCCTCATGAACTGCTGTTGTTTGCCTTGGAGCCAGCGGAATATGGACTGAACCTCCAGTAACTGTGAGCTAAATAAACCTTTCCTTCATTTTGAGTGTAGGGTATTTGTCCCAGCAAGGAGTAAAAAGTAACTAAGACAGAATTGTAACGAGAATATAAGCACAGATTGCATTCACTTTCGTATCCAGTGCAAAGTAACTGGCAATGGAGGACCCTGTAGCCAGTGAGGTGCTAGAGAAGTCAGGGTTTCCTTTCCTAGACGGCTCAACGGGATAAACAGCGTACAGATGTGCTTAAGCCAGTTCACCCTGCAGAGCATTTATGGAACACCTACCCAAATTAGAGTTTCACAAAAGAGGTAGAGGGGCTGGTGAGATGGCTCAGTGGTCTAAAGCACCTACTTAGAACAAGCTTAGCAAAGCACAGGGACCGCGGTTCAATCCTCCAGCACCACATGCCAGCCAGCCCCACCCCCTGGTGGGCTGAGCTGGCCACACACATACACACACACATACACACACACGCGCACACACATAAATAATAAAAAAAAAGAGGTAGAGACAGTGATGTTCGTGGAAGCAGAAAGTAAAAATGGAAGATGTAGTCAGAATTCTAGCACCCAGGAGGCTGAGGCAGGAGGATTAGCTGGAGTTTGAGGCCAGCCTAGGCTACATAGTTCAAGGCCTATCTGAACTACATAGCAAGATGCTGTCTCAAACCCTGCCCCCCAAAAGACTAAATTTTAAATTTTTTTTTAAAGGTTAAGTGACATACAAGAAGTGACATACAAGAAGGGGACTATCTTTTCTTTTGTTGTTGAGACAGAATACTTGCCACCCAGAATTAAGGGCAGAAAGGTTTGTTTAGCTTACAGTTTGTCGAGTTTTCAGTCCACAATGGACTGTGTCCAAGGCAGGGTGATATGGCGCAGGGGCGATACTTCTGGGTGGTGGAAGACAGCAAAAGCAACTAGAGCAAAAGGGGAGGAGCTCAAGACTTTCTGTATTGTACACAGGCTGCCCACCCTAGGGTAGGTGTGGCACTCCCACCCATAATCCCAGCACTAGGCAATGAATTAATCACGAACTGTAGAAGCCTGCATTTAGGACTACATACGGCTTGAGGGAGGGGTACATCTGGACAGAAACCATAACAGGGAGGTACAAATTATAACCAAAGTACAAAACAAATCGGCGCTAGCCAGTTTGTTTTAAAGAGCTATTTAAGCCAGGGGTGGTGGTGCATGCCTGTGATCCCAGCCCTTGGGAAGCTGAGGCAGGAGGATCATTTCAAGTCAGCCCATTCTGGGCTACATAGTGAATTCAAGACCAGCCTGAACTACAGAGTGAGACCCTGTGGCAAAAATAACACCCCCCACCCCTAGCTGTCTATATAACGGGTCATGAGCTTCCTAAAGGGACACAAAGTGGATTGCAAAATCTGCAACAAGGCCAGGCACAGTGGCACGCCCTTGTAGGCCCAGCTACTTAGGAGGCTGAGGCAGGAAGATCCATTGAGCCCAAGAATTTGAGGTGAGCCTGGGCAGCGTATTGAGGTTCTATTTTACCAAAACAAAAAACCTGCAACAATGGCTCTCATTCAAAATATTTGTAGCGGGGCTGGTGAGATGGCTCAGTGGTCTAAAGCACCTACTTAGAACAAGCTCAGCAAAACACGTGGACCGCGGTTCAATCCCCCAGCACCACATGCCAGCCAGCCCCGCCTCCTGGTGGGCTGAGCTGCCCCCCCCAAAATAAATAAAAATTAAAAAAAAAAAAATTTGTAGCTATGTGGGTAAGTTTTGAGGGAAGTGACTACATGACGACGTGTGAGTAATGTAATTTCTTGCATTTATCAACCTTAAGTGGAGAAAAAGGGGTGTTTTAACTTCCACTTATGTAATATTTATAGTATTTATACAATTTATAATGGGGCTCAGGGCCAGCCAGATAGCTCAGCAGATTAAAGTGCCTGCTTAGGCAGACGCAGGGGTTGGAGGTTTGAAGCCCAGCCTGCCATGCTGGCCCCACCCATGGGCCATGCTGAGACAGTGATTGAGACTGGGCATGGTGGCACGTACCTGTAATCCCAGCACTTGGGAGACTGAAAACAGGAGAATCACTACAAGTCTGATCTGTGTAGTGAGACCCTGTAGACTGCACTAAATACAGAAAAAGAAAAGACTATATAATAGGGATGAAGCATATACTTACTGAGTTTTCAGACTGTTACAGATGCTGAAAAAAATCACAGGGGCTGGGCATGTAGCTTGGGGTGCAGTGTATACTTAGCCTGCATAGGCCCTGGTTTCAACCCTTAGGACTAAAACACAACCACCACCTTCTCCCGCAGAAAGGAGAAAATTGCAACAGCTTTTTGGAATTCAGAGGTGGGTACCAGGAGCCTCCATGGCAGGGACAGACAGCAGCTGGTTGTGGTGGGGCAGGCAGATCCTGGCTGTGGGGTGGAGCAGACGGAGGCTGCACCCCTGGTTGTCCCCCTATGGATCTGATGAGCAGGGAGAAGCCCTGCCTGCTGCTTTGGGCTGTGAGGGTTCTGGGCCATGCTGGGGCATGGTGACCGGCTGGCTGGTCCTTGGTGTCTTTTGGGCTCACTGATCACCAGCGGGCATCTCTGGTGTCATGTACTAAGCAAGCTGCCCAGGAAGCAGTGCCAGCTGCAGGCTGATCGCAGAAGGGAAGCGGGAGGCGGTGGGTCTGGAACCAAGGCGGCCCAGGCAGTAGTGAGGATGCAGCAGCTCTGTGAAGGACTGGGGTGGCCATCTGCACTGGCCTGGCAGTGTCCCTCCAGGGACGAAGGACCACCAAGGGGGTGTCACATCGATATTGTATGGAGGTGATGGGGCACCAAAAGAGAAGAGCAGGGGCTGGAGAGATGGCTCAGTGGTCTAAAGCACCTACTTGAAACAAGCTTGGCAAAGCACAGGGACCGCGGTTCGATCCCCAGCACCACATGCCAGCCAGACCCGCCCCCTGGTGGGCTGAGCTGGCCACACACACACAATAAATAAATGTAATAAATAAAAATAAATAAATATTAAAACAATACTTTAAAAAAAAAAAGAGAGAGAGAAGAGCAGCAGGTCCCTGAGGCCTGTGCCATGCTGCGGTGGCAGGGCCTGCACTCTCGGAGGCAACCAGCTGCCTAGGGAATAAGCAGAATGACCAGGGAGGTGTTGAAGACAAGGAACCTAGGGACCCAGAAGACCATCCCTATAGGAAGGGCCACAGAAGCTGATTTGGCAGTGGGAAGACAGCTCTGATGATCCACCGAGCCGCCTCCATCTAGGGGCACAGAGCATGGACAGCTCCAGGGTGCCAGACAGTCCTGTGCAGGCTCCTGGTTCTTGGCCTCGCTCTGTCCCCATGGCTACCTGATGTTGTTTGTTGGCACCAGGAACACCTCCAGGAGGCCCCTAGTGAGTCCATGAGGTGTTGACATGCTGCACTGCTGCCAAGCCCCAGCAGCCTGTCACCTGCAGCCCACGGAGCCAGAGGGCTATCGCCATCTCCAACCCCAGCTTCCCTGTGCCTTTTTCTTAGCCTCCTGTCCCTCCTGAGGATGTGCCCAGGGTCCTGACAGCTGCTGCAAAGGAACAGGGAGTAGCTGGGTCCAGGAGCCTGGGAGATGGCTCGCTAGAATAAGGGCTTCCCTGGCAAGCATAAGGGCCTGAGTTCAATCCCCGGTTCTGCCAAGAAAACAAAAAAAAGGAGTAGCCAGGTCATGACAGAAGGCTACTAGATGGCCCTGAGCCACACTACAGGCTCTTGTCTTTGGCCATTTGCTCCTTGCTGCCCCTTGTCCTGTGACTTTTTTATTTTGGGGGCAGATACCGGGAATTGAATTTGGGACTTTTGTGCGTGCTAGGCAAGTACTCTATGACTGAGCTGCATTTCCAGCCCTGTCCCTCGTCTAAGACCCATGTCAGGGCCCACTGTCCCCATCTCTCTGACATCACTCAGCATCAGAAAACCAGCAGCGGTGGCCTGTGAAGACTCTAGCAGGCAGAGCAAGATCAGGCCCATTGTGTGTCCCGTTCTTTCTGATCACAGGCAGGACTGCACACCTACATAGGCAAAAGCTCACAGGTTGTGCCTCGTGTGTGCTGTGCTAAAGCGAGCCTGCGAGGCTCTAGTGTGCTCCCAGGGACCTGGGAGGAAAGGCTCGCGGTGCTTAATCTCACCCACGCCCACGCTGCAGTGCCAGAGGCCAGGGCTCCCCTCCCCATTGCTCCCCATCACGTATTCCACCAGTACTTATGTGATCCATCATCTCAGTTATTATTATTATTTACTTTGTGGCAAGAGCAGCTAAGCCTCCTGGGTACCAAAAGGAACGGAGTGAGAGGCTTCTCTCGTTCTGCTTGCATTGTGCAGCGCTGGGAGGGAACTCTAGGTAAGTGCTCCAGGAGGAGCCAGCCGTCCCCAGCCTACTCTGCCTGTTTCTCTGTCCTACACTACCCTGCATCCCATGTGTTGCTGCAATAAGCCGCCAGGATGAGGAGCTGGGGTCCTTATGCCAGGGCCAGGGCTAACTATATCCTACTTTATTTATAGCAGGCAAGCCCAGGGAGGTGGGTGGGACAGCAGGGAAGGGTGTGGCAGGAGCTCTGAAACCTGGTTCAGCGAGAAAGCCCAGCTCTGAGGCATCTTTCTTCAGGTTTCTGCTGTGAAGGACACGTGGATGGACGCAGCACCCCCAGAGGGGGTTGATGGCTACAGTCTGTGCTGTGACCTGGACGTTACATGCTGGCCACGCGTCAAATGTTTTATCAGTTTAATACCTGACCCGGCCTCTGACAAAGGGCAGTACGTGGACTTCAGGAGCCTGAAGCGAGCTCCAGCCACCCGGCACACCTGGCGGGTACTGCAGTGCTTCTGGGGGAGCAGGGAGGGGCAGGGACTTCCCCCCACCTGATGCACGCGGGGCCCTCACATGCGGGCCCGCAGGTGGGCAGGGGAAGCGCTCAGTGCAGTGCCTGGCCCTCCAGCTCCCCACTTGACTTCAGTCACTGCACTGCCAGGTCCCCCACCCTAATGGCCCCCCCCAGCTGGCTGAGGCCACGCATGCAAGGAGAGTGAGGTCAGCGAGAGACAACACAAGGCCGGTGCTGTGTCCCAGTTTCTTTTTATTTATTTTTTTGTTCTTTTCATTTTTTTAAAGTATGGAGGCTCAAGTATAAGATGTAGATTTATTTTTTTTTTTAAGCTTTACAAAAAAACAAAATAAAACAAAAAACTCCTTTTGCATTCCATAAAAATTGACAGAAAAGCACCTGGCCACAAGAGCAGGACGCCGCCCCTCCCTGTGGGCTGCGGCTGCGCAGG